GGGTCCCTGACTGAACCCACTGGCTCCTCACCTGCCACCAGGATGTCCAGGGGGTCACTGGGGGCTGACCACTCAGAGGAGAGGTTGTATCCACCGTAGCATCTGTACCGGCCCCCGTGGGAGCCATTGGTAATGTCCAGGGGGAAGTGGGCCTGAGAGAGCCCAGCCTGGGGCTGCAGGACAAGGCTCTGGGGGAGGTCCCATCCCACCTCCTTGTGCAGAGCGAATCTGTCATAGCCGACATCAGAGCGACCACTGGAGGGCAGGCCTTGTCCAGAGGCCACGATGGGGCCCTGCTGGGTCAGGAGGGAGGGCTTCCCAGACTCACCTGGGGAGACCAGACATGAATTACAGGGCCTGCTCCTCCCATAAACTCCCTTCTCTTGGGCTGGCCCCCATGTCTCTGTGTCTCTGGCCCAGGAGCCCCTGTGCTCCCCTCACCCTCTCACATGGGGCTCTCCTCACAGCAAAGATGCCCATAATGTATCTGGTCCCTCAATCCATGGATGGGGCAATAATGGGACTTACCTGGGACCAGGAGCTCCAGGGGGTCACTAAGTGGTGAGCACACCTGGGGTATGTCCCTGTAGCAGCCATAGCATCTGAACATCCACCTGTGGCTGGGGGTCACGGGGCCCACAGGGAACAAGGCCTGGGACCGCCCACTGGGCTGTAGCTGTGAGTCCAGGGTCCAGGAGAGCCTGTCATCTCCTTCCTTAGTCAGAATGAACCTGTCAAATCCCTGCCCTGAGCCACACTGGAGGGTCACGTTCCCTCCTGAGGTCACGACAGGGCTGGGCAGGGCTGAGAGGCTGGGTTTTCTGGAGGATCCTAGGAGAGGAAGAGGCAGCGTGTTAAATGGACTTATACCTCCCTCATGTCCCCCAGGGCTGGGCTGTGAGAGGGAGACACCCTGAGTGCAGACCCCCTTCCTGAGGGCAGAGCCAGAGGCTGGGACCCCTGAGTGTCCTCTCACCTGTCACCACCAGCTCCAGGGGGTCACTGCGCTCTGACCAGTTTTTGGAGCTGAGGTAGTGACATTGATATCTCCCTGCATCGTGCTCTGTCATGTGTGTGATAAAGACCTTGGCCCTGTCTCTGGGCTCCTGTGGCTTCTGTATTTTCCATGACGATGGGCTTCCCTCTTTCTCCAGACGGTACTCCTGTGCCCCTGGGGTCCCCTGACAGGAGATGTTCACGGGGCTCCCCCAGGGGATCACAGGGCCTGGCTCAGCCCAGAGGGTGGGCTTGAACAGGGTTCCTGGAAGGAATCAGAGGCTGGGTCACAGGACATTCCCACCCCTGGTCCCAACTCTCAATCCCAGATGCCCCCCACGGGTCAGACAGATCTGCACTCCTTCCCAACCTGCCTGGAGGGTGGCCCTTGACGAGCAGGACCTGGGACACCTGGGGACAGACTCACCTGCCTGCACTGGGGTCCTGAGGCCCACACTCAGCCCTGGAAGAGAGTCCCTGTGAGAGATTTGCCCTGAACCCTGAGCAGCACCCTCCTCCCCATGAGCCTCCTGAGTCCTGGGTCCTGACAGACCAGGGCTCCCCTCCCCACCCCACCTCCCATCTCACCGAGGCAGAGCAGGGCTGTGAGGGTGGGGTTCATAGTGTCTTCTCCCTGTGGCCTCAGCTGAGCAGATGGAGGAGGCCACAGGGCCAGCAGGGTGGACACAGAGACGCACAGGTGGTGGTCACCTGGAGGCCGGTCCTCTCTGTCACAGGGTTGTCACATCAGCAGCCTACAGGCGAGGGCAAAGCTTCTCTAGCAGCCTGGCTGTCATTTTCATGGTGAAGCAGGAAATAGACCCAGAGCCTCCTGACACGCCCCTTGCAGGTGAGGTGACCCAGGGCACATCCTTGCCTATCAGAGCCTCCCCCACGGGTTCTCTTTCTTCCTCAGCCCGTCCATCAGCACCTCCCTGTGGTCCTCACCCTGAACAGTGTCACCCGGTCCCTGGAGAGGCTTCAGGATGTCGTGGGTCCCTGTGGCCTGCAGAGCTCAGATCAGCAGGGACACGCTCACCCTCCAACTGTGCAGCTCAGGGCTGTGTCCCTGTGACAATGAGCACAGAGGGGGTGGGGGTGAAGGGAAATAAGGGAAGGAAACAGGAGCCTTCTGAGGCCCCAGAATCTGGGTTTTCTTTATATCACATGTTTCTTCATGAACTTCCCTTTTTCTCAGCCACAGGCTCCAGCCCCTCCTTCCTGGGAACAGCCTCAGGGTCCTTCTCCCCCTCAGGACCCCTCATACCTGGGGCAGAGCTCTCCTCCTGGGACCATGGCTTGTCCTAGACATTAAGAAGCTGTCATTTTGTCTAGAGCTTTGATTTGTTGAGAAAACCCCCCTTTATTTAAATTCTTGTGTCCCACCTGCTTCCTGTTTCAACTGAGCAGTAATGTCTCAATCAGGTGTTGTCTTCCATTTTTTACAAGAGAACACCCACTCTTACATACTTACTTTTCAATGAGTTTAACTCCTGGAGGGTTACAACATTACACAGACTCGGTGCCCAATGGTCTTAGTAGGACGGTTGCTCTGGAATTTGGCACGAACTCTCCACTCTCCCCATGAGCACGGGTTCCCTCTCCCCAGGTGACTGTGGATTTGTGCTGTTTGCCACCAGGAGTCACTGTGCTGCTCTTTGCTTTGTACACAGAGCACATCTCTTGCCCAGACAGAGTACAGGTTCATCTCGTATGCACACACCTTCAGCTTTAAGGGCAGCTGTGAGCTCCCTCTGCCCTCCGAGACCCCGCCTGCAACCGGCAGAGCTGGTCTGAACCACAGCTTCCACACATATTAGTGCTCATTGGAGTCCTGCTCCCAGCGGGCCCCACATCTAGCAGCGGAAGTGCCACTCATACTTTTCTTCTTCCTTTTTCCCCCCAACAAGTTTGAAAACACACACACACACACACACACACACACCCACACACACACACACTTTATTTATTTCAGAGAGGAAATGAGAAGGAGAGAGAGAAACATCAATGACGAGAAAGAATCACTGATCGGCTGCCTCCTGCACGCCCCACACTGGGGATGAAGCCCGCAACCCAGGCACATGCTCTGACTGGGAATTGAACCATGACCTCCTGGTTCATAGGTTGACACTCAACCTCTGAGCCATCGTGGTCAGGCTCTTCTTCCAGTTTTAAAAGTTTTCTGCATCTAATTATAGGTTGAAACCCTAAGTGCGCATTTTGACTAGAAACATCCCTCTCAGATGTTCGTCTCGCCTCTCTAAATGCGTTTGCTCTGCCACAGTGTCCATGATACCAGTGTCCAATGTCCCAGGATTGTTTACAAGACCTCGCTGCTACTAGATGGGCCTGGAGTTAATTGTGTGCGATGATTTCACTTTTCAGATGACATTTTGACTGGTTCCACAATGCTTCAGATTTTCTATTTATTCCAGAGGCCGTCTTGGAAAATAAATCCTCACATCGCACCAGGACAGAGCGTGGCCCTGAGGGTGGGGGTCATGGTGTCTCTTGTCTCCTTCCGGCTGTTGATGGAGGAGACTAAGGTGCCATCAGGATGGAGAGATACAGGGTGTGGCACCGGGAGGCTGGCCCTCCCTGTCTCAGGGTTGTCACCTCAGGAGCCCCACAGGAAGGGGAACAGTGTCTGCCAGATGTTTAGCTCTCATTTCCATGAAGGATCAGGAAATAGACCAGGGGCCTCCTGAGACGCCTTTGCAGGTAGGTGACCCTGTCAGAGTCTCCCCCACGGGGTCTCCTTCCTCCTCAGCCCATCCATCAGCACCTCCCTGTGGTCCTCACCATGGACAGTGTCACCCGGACCCTGGAGACGCTTCAGGAAGACGTGGGTACCTGTGGCTGCAGAGCTCAGATCAGCAGGAACACGCTCACCCTCCAACTGTGCAGCTCAGGTCGATGTCCCTGTGACAATGAGCACAGAGGCAAATGCAGGGAAATAAGGGAAGGAAACCAGTCTCCCCCTCTGGCCCCAGAGTGCGGTTCTCTTCCTATCCCAGCCCCTGGTCACTCCCCTTTCTTGCAACAGCATCCACCCCAGCAGCCTGGGAACTCACCTCTGAGTCCCTCCTCTTCTCAGTGCTTTGTTCTTCAGGAAGATCTCTCCTCCTCGTCCCGGGCTCCTGTCTTCACAGTCAGTGACAATAAGTGTGTTATTGCTCCGATTTGGGGAACAAAACAGATATTTATTTATTTATTTATTATTCTAAAAATATATGTCTATTTTAGAGATGAAGGGATAGGGAGAGAGAGACAGAAACATCAATGATGAGGGAGAATCACTGACCGGCTGCCTCCTGCACGCCCCACATGGGGTAGGAGCCCGCAACCTGGGCATGTGCCCTGACTGAGAATAGAACATCGACCTTCTGGTTCATACATAGATTGATGCACAACCCCTGAGCCATACCAGTTTGGACGATTTTTATTCAAATAGGCCTCCATTGTTCTTTAGGTGTGTGACCTTCACCCTCAACGTACAATTTCTTGAAGCTCAGTTTCTTCTCATGCAGTACATAGTCAAGAACCCAACCCCTTACAGTGGTTGTGGGGTCGGTGCCGCGGAGACGTGTAGAGAGCCATCCTGGTTTATTTCCACACCTGACTAAGCCCTGTGAGGTAAGCCTTGAGCAGTGTTGTTCAGAACTCTGCAAGAATTGGATGCTATACCCACTTACAAATCCCCATCAGCTCCTGATATTGAGAAAGGCTATGCACACTGTTTCTGAAACATGTGGCCATCCTCAAAGCCCAAAAGGGGAAGTGGAAGTTCCCCAGATGGAGAGGGAAGCAGAACAGATAACAGGGGCCAAAGTTGAGTGGCTACTGTGCCTGGGTGCAGCAAGAAGTCATCAGTGTGGAGTTTCCCAACTCTGTGTGGACAAGAGAGGTACCAAGGTTCGCCACACACAGGGAGGGCATCTGAACTCAAGGTGAAAGTTGGAGCAGGGTTGTCCCCTCCACATGATTTGGATATGGGCACTGAGGCCTCTCTGCCCACAGACCCAGCCCATGGTCAGCACTGAGCCACACCCCCTGTGTGTGAGTGAAACAGATTCAATTTATTCTAGCCAGGCATGGGCGTCTGCCCAGGTGTGAGTGTGAGGCTCACCTTAGGGTGAGCAGTGCTGGGCACATCACAGTCACATGCTAACTTACGGAGAGTAGATGCCACAAGGCAGGGCAGATTCCATCGGCTGATGGGAATGCAGTGATTGCTGATAAGAATGCAGTGGTGGCTGATGGGAATGGAGTGATGGTTAATGGGAATGGAATGGGGACTGATGGAAATGGAGTGATGGGTGATGGAAATGGAGTGGTGACTGATGGGAATGGAGTGATGGCTGATGGAAATGAGTGACGGCTGATTGGAATGGAAAGTTAATGGGAATGGAGTGATGGCTGATGGGAATGAAGTGGGGACTGGTGGGAATGGAGTAATGGCTATTGGGAATGGAATGGTGACCACAGCTGCCACTGAAAAATGTGTTCTGGAATGAGATGAAGGATTAAAATAATCTGATTAGTCCCTGGGAGTTAACAGGGTCTGGTCTATAGAGGGATTTTTCAATCCCAGCAACAACACAGAGCAGGGTAACGATTAAAGAACCAGCTCTGGACAGTTGACCTCCCCAAACCAGTTTTAAGTGCAATAGAGAAAATAAACCCTTGCTACTGGATAGAGAAGC